TGTGTGTGTGTGTGTGTGTGTGTGTGTGTGTGTGTGTGTGTGTGTGTTATAGGGTGATGCTAATCGGTCGGAGTCGGATGATGAGAAGAAATCTGACAACTTTGAGGAGGACGAGAAGGTAGAACAGCTCAGGGACACTGGTATGTTAAATGAATGTATGATTTGAATTACAACCTGAAAGACAAAGTACCTGAAAGAATAAAAGATGGTGATGATGATGCCTTTATTCCTCCACAGAGCTAAAAATGTACTCTCTGATGATGACAGCCAATGGTCACGTTGACCCGTGCGGCTCGATGGCTCCTCCCATAATCATGCGCACGGCAGCCACCCCCATGCCCACTCCCAAGAGCTCTCTGGGACCGGAGTCTGTCCTCGAAGAGGAGCTCATGTACAGGGAGGGGGTGCCTCAGTATGGCGAGGTGGGACTGGGGTTTTCCGATGCGGGAAGCATCCGTGCAGAGTCTCGCCGTGGAAGCTCCACCTCCATGGACCCTTCAGCCTATGACCAGCATTCTCTGGTGAGTTACATCAAACACTCGCATTCACAAGTGTGCATTTAGTCGTTAGAAATGTAGATGCCCGTAGGTCCGAGAAATGAATCCGATCCACCACCATGAAGGACATCTTAACTTCCTAAATTCTGCTCAGAGGACTGAGAAGGAGCAATGTATTACTTTTGACTTTTTTATTTATGTATTGTTATTCTAACATTGTTAAACCTTGGTATCTCTGCAACCTGCAGAGAGGAGGAGGAGGACTGGGCATGTACCAGATACGCCGCTAACAATGGCTCCAGTCTAAATAACTGTCCATAGCAGGGCTCTGTAACACAGGTAGACAGTCACCTACTCCACGAGGACATCATGCATGCCTGAAACTAAATCTAAAATTAAGGGGAGCCAATGATGACTCGGTGTTTGCTCATGGGAAAGGAAAAATCCTATTCAACATAATAAAGTTGAGCACATGGGCAAAAATATTGATCCAGTAGCCAACTACTGTAGCCGCTGCATCTAGGTACTGAACGGGAGGAGACACAATTATGTCAATCGATCACAGAAACTTTAACTCAAACCTCGTTTCATTTCTCTCTGGACAACGTGTAACCCTGTGGTTTTCTAAGAGACTGAGAAAACATTTGACGGCAGAACAGACTGAGAATCCTGAAAAAAATGCCAAAATGCAGAGGCAGCGCCTTTGAAACTACTGTGACTCTTGCTCAGCCACACCTACTATGCTTACCCTTGTGTCCTGTCTCTCCAGAGCCTCTCGAGTCCCGGCCGGCGCTCCCCTCTTCCTCCCCGCTCGTGGGGAAGCCGTCGCTCCAGCTGGAACAGTCTGGGACGAGCGCCGAGCCTCAAAAGGCGAGACACCAGCGGGGAGAGGGAGAGCCTGTTGTCTGGGGAGGGAGGAGAGGAGGAAGATGGTCGGGAGGGCGCGGGGGAGGCCGGGGGAAACAACCGACTACGGCCGGAGTCCTTGGAGCTGCTGCAGGCGTCCACTCTCTGCCCTCCCATAATAGCGGAGTATGGGGACTGTAACGGCAGGACCCTGACCTATGACCCCAACGTGAGCTCCGACCCCAAGGACGACTCCTTGCCGGAAGACGACTTGGATGATGACGTACGTTATCGTGGCTTTTCAAAATAACATTTAGAAAAGGGAGGTCTTTGAGCAGTTCTTAAAGGTCCCCTGCGTGATATCATCCTGGCATTTATCATCAGCTTATTTACATGCTGGCCTCTTTGACAGTTACATTCAAGAAAGCAAGAAATTTTGTTTTTTATCAGCATGGTGACAAGTTTGCTGAGCAGTTTGCGCCTCCGTGGTTTTGCTCTCTTATGTAAATTCTTAATCTCTTAATCTGCCCTCTCCGACTCTGTTTACATATTTCATTTCTGTCTTTCTCTACTGACTCAGTTCTTCTTTGTCGTCTTTGTCTCCCTTCTACTTTGAGATATTATAATGTGTGTGTTTCGCTTTCACACGGCAAGGCCTGGTGGGACGCTAATTGTCATGCTGTAATTGATTGGCTTGGGCAGTAATTGTTTTCTCAGTGGGAACAAAGCCACTTGTGAGTGTACAGTCAGTGTGGTTGAGCATTTGTGTG